ATTATTCTTCCCTTAGATATCCCCCCAAGTTTGTAAATGTAGTGTGGGGTGCTCCCAGGCATTTGTAACCCTATGTACTAATATTGTAGCTTTTCTCTCACTTCTGGACCTGTTGACTTCCACTAACATTACATTCACATCGCTTCCTGTATACGGAACTCGAAGCAGAACAATGTGTGTCTGACATAAGCAGAAAACACATTTTTTACTCAAATCTACAGTTCTGATAACAAAAAAGGAAGGCAACTGATGTTCTTAGAGTTATTCACTTTTTTTTCTATTTATTTCCCTTCATCTTTGTGAAGAAAACCCGGTTATGTTGTTCTAGTGAGTTTTTAGTTTATCATTCAGCTAGTTTCATTTTAATAAAATCTACCAGAAAGACAATGTCAGAAATAGCATTTATGCCATAAAATAATTTCCAGCCTAATTCCCCCCAAAAGAAGCGTGTGACGTCATGCGGTGTATTAGCATAAAGCAGGGGGATCAGTCGGTCTGCTGCTAGATGATAAGGGTCTCTCGAGGGATACACTGCTCCCTTTAATACATTCATTATTGCTCTGTCTTCTACAATTTTGCAATTTGTAAGAGCTTAGAAAACCGTAATTCTTGGAGAATAAGGAATGACACATCGCTTTCTTCCGAACTCCAAGACTAAGAGGCAATATTGTGTAAATTTAGTCCACAGAAATAAAGACTATAGTAGAATTGATATTTTATAGCACTCTATACATTAGCGCCAAGTCACATATTTATGTTTTATTCCCTGTAACACAAAGAGTTTATTCCAATTAGACTGATGAGCAAAGACTGCTTTCTGTGCGGATTGGGGAATATAAGAAGGTATATATAAAATGTATATATTTAGTATATAGGTTGGAGCCTATGCTTTCCAACTGATGTAAAAGTGATACCTACATTTTGTATTACTGGGGAAAGATCAAACCCTTTTCTTTATTCTAAAAGGATTGCCATTTGATCTTTTCACCTATAAGCGGGACCTGTCATTGAGTAGCCTGTAGGATTTGTACGAATTCACAATTCCCAGTGGCTGGTACAGCCAGATTCAATGCGTGGGAAAGCTGAAAGTCTAAGGCCTGGTGACGTCACAAGAACTGGTCCTCTGCTGAGTTTAGGATCTTAGTGCTGGACTAATCTCCCTGGACACAGATGGAAGATCTACTGGAAACCACTGGAGGTACAACAGGCATTATCAGAGAATGTGAACTCGCACAATTAATGGTATATATGCGTCTCTAACTAATTAAAATATTAAATACTGCTGGTATTTGGATCCATTGATGTAATTATTGCATTCAATTTCCATTAACTATAACTATCTTATACTAGATGAAAATGTCATGGTAGTGTATATAGTGAAAGGCAGAAACATCACTGCAGACAGCAGCACACCAGTGTATACGGTTCAGCATCATTTGTATATAATACAAGCACGGCTTATTGACTTTAATGGCAACCCCCACCCTTAGCCCGAATCCTCTCCAGCAACAAAATGAGTCAAAACACCAGGAAAGATCCCCTATTGTAAATCTTTTATCTCTAACAAGAAAGAAGGCATCCCAAATGAAAAGGCCGGATCATTGGTCAACACACAAGTAATTTCAAATGCAAAAAAATAAAAAGCAGCTGAGAAAAAGCAGAACGTGTTCGGGGCCATGTATGTGGATAGTGAGGCAGCTTTTTCAGGGGAGAAGACCCCCCTAGGTTATCCTGGCTCCAGGCACAGCTACAATAGCTGAAGGCTAGGCGCTACAGCCCTCAGGCCAGAGCTATCATTTGTTCAATTAATGGCAGAAAACTAGCAGCTCATAAAAGTTAAGCTTCAGAGTGTAAATGGAGGGTAATTACACCTTTCCGAAATCTATCTACCTTTGTAAACCATGCTAATATACATTATATAGATACCTAGGGGTTGATTTATTAAAGGGGTCGTTTTTTTTAGGTTGACCTAGCGAACTAGTGATAGTTTCGGGTAGACAATAAATGTAAAGTTATTCACAACAACTACACTTTCTCCTGAACCTGTATAGCTGCTGTCAAGCACAAATGTTATAGGACAGTGTAACTAGTCAAAAAAAATCTATCTATCTATCTATCTATCTATCTATCTATCTATCTATCTATCTATCTATCTATCTATCTATTTTCATCAATCTAATTATTACAGATAAGCTTCAAATCAAAGCTATGTATTTCTGGCTGATGTCCTTCTATCATCCATCTCCTCTATTTTTTTTTTAATTTCATATCTAGATCTCTAGAGAGCTCCAACTGTAAGAACATGTCAATAGCAGGAGAACGCCGTGCTAGAACAAGCGGTATAAATAATTAATTGAACCGATGCCCTCTGACCCTTTGAAAGTCCAGTAGGGACGCGTTTGTAGTAATAATGCCTCACAGTGAGCCCTTGTCAAATATTCATTTAGCAGTTAATGTGAGCTGCCGTCCCCTGAGACTTGTATGTATTACCAGTTAGTCTGCCTTGGCAAGGATGCCTGCTAATCTACTCCCCTATACGACAAAATATTTTACCACTCCGCTTCAAAAATTCACATGGGAAACTTTAATCTCATCAATGGATTCATCTAAACATTATGGAAGGTTAGTGAGACATTACTCTAACCCAACGAGGGCTGCCAGCTTCAGCGACCCAGGTGGAGGCAAAGCAAAGCATGCTGGAGACACATGGGGGGGGCATAAACGGAACTGAAACGTTACATCCCCGGGGCACAGAGCATAGCAGAGGAGTTTAAACACATCTAGAGCTCTAACTCAAATCTATCTATCTATCTATATAAATGTTAATTTACAGCTTCTGGTCTCTATAGGTAATCTATGCACACATGTACATTGAAAAATGGCCTGACATACAGACAGATCCACCTTATAACGGCCTGCCAACAAGTGTGCTAAACCCGCTCAGAAATGCCCCCCTGCCCATACAGCCCAAGTTGTCAAATGTCGCACATTTCCCATTCAAACGATTTTTAAGCCCATAATGCACAAAGTCAGTAATCACACTGATTTCTTTGCTGGCCTGCTAAACCTTATTTGCTTGAGATTCATTTAAATGTAGGTTAGATTAATTAAAGGGCAAATGCCACAAACTCGATTTAACCCTTCTAAGAATACTAATTATTTATTCAGTTAAAAGTGATCTTAAAAAAAAAGAAGTCTTATGTGACTTTGACACCATAAGAGTGACCGCCTTTAACTATTGATTATTTGTTATCTCTATCCGGCTACAATGACAAAAGCATAACAAGTGACCAGAAGTGCTATCTCCTAATCAATACTCCCATAAATTAATTCACTTATCTAAAGTGTCAGTGAGCAGGCAACCCTGGTGGCTGGAACAAGTGCACCGGTCGGATTGACAAAGCATGCATGGTGAAGCCATACAAGAATATACAGAATAAATCCAAATAATAATAATAATAAAGCAGCTTTTAAAAGTAAAACTCTACCTCGTAGCTGAAGCTTCCTTCTTGCAAATGGGCCCAGGCAAGGCTTCTCTTTTTGTGTGTGCTTGTTATCAGCTGGAGATACTATCCAGTTTTGTTTTGTTTTTGGCTTTTTTTTTGGGCCCCGCTGGCAATTTAGAGATGGGATTAAAACAGCTGTAATAGGCGCAATTTGTTTTCAATACAGAGAACTTTTGTTCTGCGTTGAAAATACAAAGTAGAAGCTGAGCTTGACGGGAGCATTACACTGATCCACTTTATCACCAAATGTCAAAGCAACATTTACCTTGTGAGGAGATAGACGTTCCATTAATACCGGCTTCTTGTCATCTGATCATTGTTAGCACATTAAGATTACTCTGCTATTAAAATGTATTTGATTAGAAAGCATTAGATTATCCACGCGAAGCTATACTACATCTGCAGTGGCCCCCACGCTATATAAATAGGCGATATTAGAGTAGAATAAAATGTAAAAAATAATTATTTTCAGATCTATACAGGCGTCTTTATCTACTTTTATCCTGCCAGGCATCAATAACAATTAAGTAGCATTAAAAGTGGTCCTTTCTAAACTACACCACAGCTTAGGTTGGCTGTTTTGATTTTTTGTTTTTGCACTAGCCATCCATATAAATTATACAAAATAAATCAAACACTCCACGTGATGTCAGATTCCATATTTCAAAAAATTTATTTATCTCAAACTGTGCAGAATGGAGTAAAAACTTAAGCTGGAAATGTACCTGTTATAAGAGTGGTATTAGTTCATATATATACATGGACTGTCGGCAAACCTAGCCGAGTCTTTAAAATACATCTACCGAAAATGAGAAAAAAAAAAAGCTTAAAATATCAGCACAATAAATTTACAGAAATATTACAAACCATAAGAAAATATTTCAAACACAGTAGTTTAATTTTGTCTTTTTTTTTTTTTATCTGAACAGGATGAAGACTTTGAAAACAGCCTATTATAAATTAACAACTGTTTGAGTCAATGACTGCTCTTATCAATCAATAATAATAATAAAAAAAAATAATAGTACACATTTTTGTGTGCCCCTTTTTTTTTTAAATGTAAAACCAAGAAATTGGTTTTGTTTCATACTCGTCCTGTTATTGTTTTGTCTTTTTGCACAATGAATCTAAACGAATGATATGTCCATATTGTAAAATAAAAAAAATAAAAAGTGTTCCCAGGGCAGCTGAAATCCAAGCTGCATTGACCTATGAGTGTAAAAAGATTGGCAAAGTCGCAGCTTTCTAAACAATAGCACTTGGATTGCCTTGTTTAATCTGATAAATACTGTACAAAAGTTCCTCGCAAATAATAAAACATTTTTTTTTCTCATCACTTTTGAGACTAGCTCTAAATATTATTGGTAAATAATTCTGCAAACTTTCTGAAAAGTTCCTACCTAGAACTTTTTAAGTTTGTTTAATCTCCTTTTCTTTTTTTTTTTCCTCTGGTACTTTACAAGTTCTTTGTTTTTTTTTTTTTTAACCCCCCTCCCCCCTCCCATTTTTTTCTCTGTACAAAAATAGTCCAAAAAAAGTCCAAACTCTAATAAAAGTTTCTTTTTGATTATTGTTTTGTTTTCACATGTGTGATAGAGGAAGCGTGCCATTGATGGCTGTGCCAGGTACAGATGCGCTCTGATAATGCTGGGACATGTGAAGTCTGCTTTGGGCAGTTTGCTCTGGCACTTCTGCCCCAGGTAGGTACATGCTGATCATGTCCCGGAGGTCACCTGCCTGACAGGGAGCCCTCGAGTGGGAAGAAGAAGTGACTACGGGCGGGCTGGAGCTGGATTCTGACTTAACCACGGAGCCCATAGAACCCAGAGTCATACCTGGAGCACCTTGCTGGGAGTAGGACATGCTGTAGGTGGGGGAGCCGTTCATGTAGGACTGGGAGCTGGTCATGGAGTTGTACTGCAGCGCGCTGACGTCGTAGCGGTGCATGTTCTGCATCTGAGCCGCGTTGTGCGCGTTGAGCCCCGGGTGCTGCGGGTAGCCGAGCTGCTCTTGCATCATGCCATACCCCCCGTTGGTCCAGCCGTTCATGTGAGCGTAGCTGTCCATCCTTTGATTGACCCCAGCTCCCAGGCTCGCCCCAACGCCTACCCCAGAGCCCATGGAGTTGCCCCCAGGCGCCAGCAAGCCCCCAGGCAGGGTGTACTTATCCTTCTTCATCAGGGTTTTGGTTTTCCTCCTCGGCCTGTATTTATAATCCGGATGTTCCTTCATGTGCAGGGCTCGCAGCCTCTTGGCCTCATCGATGAAGGGTCTCTTCTCAGCCTCGGACAGCAGCTTCCACTCGGCCCCCAGCCTCTTGCTGATCTCCGAGTTGTGCATCTTGGGGTTCTCCTGGGCCATCTTTCTCCTCTGCCCCCTGGACCATACCATGAAGGCGTTCATGGGTCTCTTGACTCGGTCCGGGCTGTTCTTCTGGTTGTTGGCCGAGGAGTTGGAGTTCCCGTTGCCCCCCGAAGTCTGCTGGGGGGCGGGAGGTTTCAGATCGGTTTCCATCATGTTGTACATTCACGCAGCTTTTGTGGGTCGCCTTTTGTAGCCAAGAAACGAGAGTCTCTGTGGTCACCCACAAAAATACACACGCACACACCCAGGGAAGAGGAAATCAAATCACAGGCTGTGCCCAATATCTGCGAGCCTGCTCTGTGCCTCTCTGGTGCCTCTCGCTCGCTCTCAGATAGCCAGCAAACTACTTTTCATCCTGCGCGTTTGACAAGTCCTGCTACTTTTTTGAAACAAGTTAATAGACAACCGTCCATGTGATGGGGGCTGTCAGGGAATAAATGGCTTTCCGGCGGCCAATCAGAACGCCGCTCCCTCTCCAGGCAGGGTCAGCCCTCTGCTTGGTTTTGCATGAAGTGGGCGTGGCTTGTGGGGGACGGCAGACGGTGAGCACGGGGAGGGGAGCAGACTTCTCGACAGCCTATTGCAGGATCATTCTCTTCCTCCCCCCCCTGTTCTATTCCCTCCCCGCTCACAGGAGCAACAGGTCACACACGCCTAGGAGAGGAGGAAGTGGGGGAAAAACGGGTCTCTCCTAACTGCAGTGCTGAAACTTATTTTCACATGAAATACTACGCTGCGAAATTAACCCCTGAAAGCCAGATGTATTATGGCGAGCTGCTAATTAACACCAGAGCCCGACATGTCATTTACACACCTGTATGAGGCACAAAGCGCCATCCGCAGGGCTGATTTACCAAAAGGGTCCAGAGCGATCGCTTCGCAAAGTGAATTCGCACCTTGTTTGGGGCGAAGCAAATGGACATTTCCTTTGCATGGAATACCCGATCGTGTGCGAGGACGATTTATAAAACAGGATTCATTGCCCGTTGCATGTTTGGATGATCTGGGGCAGCACAGGTTCATTCACTTTGAAAAGAATACCGGATCCTGTGCAAGGAAAAATAAAAAAGCAGGATTTTGGTTGCAACGTGATTGGATGGTTATGGGGAGACCAGCTTCACCTCATTTACTAAGTGAGAAGTCACTCTGCAAACTACATGATTTAGTAAATGAACCCCAATACATTCACTGTGCAAAGAATACCTGATCCTGTGGAAGGGAGATTAAAATCAAAAAGCAGGATTTGGGCTGGCACGTGATTGAATGATTATGGGGAGACCAGTTTCACCCCATTCACTAAGTCAGAAGTCACTCTGCAAACGACATGATTTAGTAAATGAACCCCAATACATTCACTTTGCAAAGAATACCTGATCATGTGCAAGGTGAATTCAAATTAAAAAGCAGGATTTTAGCTGGCAGGTGATTGGATGGTTATGGGGAGACCAGCTTCACCCCATTCACTACGTGAGAAGTCACTCTGCAAACTACATGATTTAGTGAATTGACCCCAATACATCGATCTGTGACTTGTGTTTAATAATAATTGTCACTATTCATATAAAAGTGGCGACAAACAAGTGAGCCTTTGCATCAATACTAAAAAAAATGCTGCATGGCCCTTACAAGTAGGTAGTTTTGTTTCCCTTGTTGTAACTACATGGTGCCAGACAAAGACACTTCTAAGATTACTTCTATTGCCTTGTGCAAAGCTGTGTATCTAAAGTACATTCAACAACAAATAAATATTGGCCACACTGGTCTCATTGTGTTCAAGTACATATATATACTCATTATAGGGTATTACTGCAAGCAAAGGGATATCTTCACGCTTCTATCTATCTATCTATCTATCTATCTATCTATCTATCTATCTATCTATCTATCTCGTTTTATCTACCTACCTCTTTCTATCTATGTATCTATCGTTCTATCCACCTGCTACATCTATCTATCTATCTATCTATCTATCTATCTATCTATCTATCTATCTATCTATCTATCTATCTATCTATCGATCGATCTATCTATCTCTCTATCTATCTATCTCGTTCTATCTACCTACCTCTTTCTATCTATCGTTCTATCTACCTCCTACATCTATCTATCTATCTATCTATCTATCTATCTATCTATCTATCTATCTATCTATCTATCTATCTATCTATCTATCTATCTATCTATCTCTATATCAGTCCTCTATCTCTCACTCTATCTACCTACCTACCTATATATACATATCTATGTATCTATATATATGTATCTATATAGTGAATATAAGTGGTGGCCCCCTTATAAACGTATATATTAATGCATATAAATATATGTAACATATGTGCTTGTCATAGCATATCTGCAACATTTCAGGCTCCCAGGATGATCACATTCCACTTATTCCAAGCAGCATAGTTTCTTCTAGTGCATGATTTTGGAATAAATTTGAAGATCACACCAAAGATTTTCTGATCTCCCTCCAATTGATGGTAAAGTGGTTATTCATTGGATTAAAGAAGCAGGTTCATTGGAAAAGTCCTTCAAATACTCATGGTGTAAGAGCGCCGCCTAATGGCCGCCAGCGGCAACTCCTCTCCCTGTCCTATTTACAAGCTGCCGCTTTAGCTACAAATAAAGTAGAGAGATGAGGTTGTATGATATATAATTAATGATCCATCGTATGGGTGCAGATTTTTTTTTTATTATTCATCGCCCTATATTCTAATTAGCTTTGTTTTCTTTAGGTTGATTCTCGCTAAAGGCAAGCTAGATTTGTGTTTGTGTTTATTCCGCTTCACCAATACTATTTGGAGGCGAGGAAGACACTGTGCTTTAATTTCCTAAAAATATAGACTCATGGTAGAAGAATAAAACTAATAGGATGTAATGAGAAGCTGTTGTACATTTTATACATTTAGTACTATGTTGCGGATTTATTATGAAACAAGAATGCGGTGATCTTGTACTAAGAATTACTTTAAATCAGAGAATTAGATATTTTTTCCGTTGCAATTACGCACAACAAATGATTTGATCAATAGTCTGTTTTTTATTTTTTCATAAATCTATTACATAAGGGCCATTTTCTTCAGATGATTGATATGCATGCATTCATAATGACATATTTGGAATAAGTTTTGTATGTTTTATTACAGAATGAGAGGCACACTGGACTCCTCGGCATCCATAGACTGTTCCCAGTCAAAAGCAAGAAAACATATTTGGATTAATAATAATATGCATGCTTTCCATGAGACAGCAGTGTTCAGAAAGTATGATTAGGGGCTCTCAAGTAGAATGTTGATGGAAGAAAAGTTTGGGGGAAAGTACAGGAACCGCACAAGCGTGTTTTTGTCCTGAGAAGCAAATAGAGGTTTAAGTTGCAGTAATTAGGTGAGAGCTAGCCAAGCATCGCGCTATTATATTGCTTGTTAAAAACGCTTCTTTTCTGCATCTGCATTTGAGTGTGTTCCCTGCACTCCTAATCTTCTTATGGAAATGAAGAACTGCAGGGGACCAGCGGGGACTGGGAGAATGTCCTTGTTAACAGGAATTTCTCAGCATTGCTAATTAGTGGAGGCTGACGACCACCAGTATTGGGGGGAAAGCTCTGTTTAACCACTCACAAACCCTTGCAAGGAAGAGCTTGCCTCATTTTATTTTGTAATTAAAATCCTGAAAAGGGCCTATTTGTCTGTTAGGGCTATGAGAGTTTTATCTCCCTCTGAAATAATTAATGCCTTGCTAACTCAATTCTGAACAAAATGTCAACTATGGCAGCTAAAAGTTTTCATTTCATCCCCTGAAGAACCACCGTATTTTTTTTTGTAAATGTGCTGAGCCAAATATTAGAAAAAAAACAACCTTAAAAACAAAATCTCCCAAAAATAATACACCTGTTA